TTGGCAAACACGGAAAAGGATGAGAATGATTGATCCTCTTCTCCTTACTCAACTGTCCTATGCTCCCATGTTGTATGCAAATGGCTCTGCTGTGACTTGAATCCTCCCTTATGATGCAAAATATGATTAGAAGTGATAAAGTAGTTGGGCACTATTTAAACTGGTCTGTAGCGGCAGCGGGGTTTTGCTACCGGGTTTCGTGTCTGCCCTCGCTGTTGTTCCCTAATAACGTCTGGTTTTAATTTATTTCTAAAATGAAGTTTATTTTTGATTATAAAGTTTCTTGTTTCATTACACTCAGATTATCGATGGCCACTGCATGTAAAACACAACCAACCGCTTCACTAACAACGTAATGTAAGGCTGTGACAAAACAAGAGCCAAAGTGACAAAGTAAGCTTACGCTGCGAAGACTGCTTGAACCACGCATTCACTGCTGGGATGGGCGCAGGACCCAAAATGATTTCTGGCTGTTCCACTGCATGTGCATTCTCGCTTTCGTCTTTGTCATCCTGAAATACACATTCACTTCGTATGAATTTCGAAGAGTGTAAAGTGAACCTCCCGAATGGTAAAATATGTCACTGTAGACTAAAACCCAGGTTGTAACGCACCAGGCTTGCCGATGCGATCATGTATTTTTGCGCCAAGCTTGCAGATCGTTAACGGTAAGAATAGTTCCTGTGCTATACTTCAACACTTAGGTTCACACTGGCTCTGTTTTGGCCTCTTTTTGCATGCAACGGGAAGGGGCATCGACTGAGATGAAGGTGTTGCAATGTGGGGCCGCATGAACCACCAGCGTGCATGATTATCAGTTTCTTGCATGAAGCTCGGTTGTTTTTCCGGTGAATGCTCGCTCGTTGAAAAAAATGCAAATTTGAAAGAAATCTGGAGAGGATTATGAAATCCGCAAATGACTCCAGACTTTCGGCCTCCCAGCTTTCCTAGTTGCTAAATCGAAAGTGGATGCAAAGTTTATTCGCTTCTGAACATAAAAACACACGGACGACCTCTTGACAATGTGCGTTTTTATGAGTTTTTGCTGTCCAGCGCTATAGCGGCGCTGAGATGAAACTGGGTG